CTAGATAAGTAATCAGTAAGTCATAATGACTTAATTCATCAACCTAATACACTAGTGAAGAGGAAGGAAAGTTTATAAAGCAACTATTAATAGGCTTGTTACAGTGGGAGCAGAGAAGTAGAGTGCTAGAAGAATTTAGGCAGTCACTTTAAATCTCACCCATCAAAAAGGCAGTCAATCAAAATAGATAATCTGATGGCTGGCAGAGGGAGATAGCAGCAAATAAAAAAATCTCCCCAGCCTGACCAGCCTCTTCTCTCACCCCTTCTGTTGCTCAGAACGACCCCACTATGAGGTAGGGCTTGAGTATCTGGGCAGATAGCCAAGTACAGGCAGAGCTCATAGCATGGACAGACAGCAGAATACACGTGGGGCTCAGATGTCCAGACAGTGGTAATGTACTGTGCACAGGAGTCTCAACAACCAGCATGTGGAAGTGGTTCAGAAACTAGGAAAGCTACAGTAGCTGAGGTACAGTTCTAGAAAAACCCAGACACATTATTTCAAACCAGGGAAGTGTCCACTGTATAGAGATCAGTGCAGGAACAAGGTAAGATTCACACACTGGAGAAAAGTAGATCCCAAAGGGAGGGACAAGGAAGTCGTACATGCTACTGGGACAGTTAGATCATACATGGATAAAGGAGAGTCTTGGGTATTTGAAGAGCAAACCAGATCCCTCTACTTAAACTGACAATAAATTCTAACTTCTTACATTTCAGAGATTTGTATGCAAATCTTTTATACAATTCTCAAGAACCCACTGGTGCAGAAAAATCCACTTAAGTGCCAAAGACTAATAAGATATATTAATGGTGGCACAACAGTAACAGGACACTTAACACACTCTTTAATCATTTTCAGATCAACTGGAAAAAACATCAACATGGAAACAAAGCTTTTAAGGAGTTGGAAGCACTGGAACTAGTAGTATGCAAAAAATACCTCCCAGATCTCATAAGCTGAGTATAAATTATTTTTCTGTGCACACCAAGGTTGACCAGAGGCTGGGTTACAATTCAAGTGTTCATAAAATCACAAAAGCATAAATCTTATCAAGTATCTTTTAAGATATAATACCATAAAAGTATAAATCAGATATAATGAGAATGACAGAAAAATACCTAACATTTGAAAATTAAACAAGGTAATTTTAAACATTAGGTTAAAGAGAAAATAAAAGAAGAGAACCATGGCCTCAAAAGAAAGGAGAGAAAAAACGCATTGGATCAGAGATTAAAGTAGGGAGTAGAAAACCTGAACAAATCAATTGAAGGTAGGAAATTTAAACAGGAATTCAAAATATCCCTAGGAAAAAACATATTTCCCAAGAACAAAAACCCAGGTCCAGAGAGATATGTTTTTAATTAGTGAAACAACATGAGGTACAGTTATAGACTTCCAAACTTTTGGCCTTGAGTTTCAGTTATACAATGATCAAGTACCCATCCCTCAACCAGTGCCCATTCTCCACCACCAATGATCCCAGTAGCCCCCCCCCCCATCTCATCCTCTCCCTACCCCACACCGCCTCTGTGGCAGGGCATTCCCTTTTGCTCTCTCTTTCCTTTAGGGTGTTGTAGTTTACAATAGAGATATTGAATAGTCATCCTGTTTGGTCTATTCTACCTTCAGCATACATCTAGCATCCAGAGTCGTCCAAACACCCTTTACTTGGTGTTCTCTTCTCTGTCTGAGCTGCCTTTTCCCCCAGCATGTGCTGCTTTTCCATTTTGTCACTCCATTTTTTTATAGAGTTGGATTGATTTCTTCTTGTGGAGTTCAATCTCTGTCTATCTCTGTTTCCAAACCATGGAGCAGACCTCCAGGTACTTAGCTCAACTAATCTTGGGTGTTTGACTCCCATACTGTTATTTTATATTCCCCAGATGAGTGCAGTGTTTCTATGTCTGTCCCTCTCTTTCTCCTCATTTCACTTACCATAATACTTTCCATGTAGAACCACGTGTATGTAACTTTCATAACTTCATGTTTTTAACAGCTGTATAGTATTCCATTGAGTAGATATACCAAAGTTTCTTTAACCAATCATCAGTTCTCAGGAACTCGGGTTTTTTACAGATTTTGGCTATTGTGAGCATTGCAGCAATGAACATAGAAGTGCAGATGTCATTTCAACTGTACTTTTTTGCCTCTCTGGGATATATTCCCAGTAGTGATATTGCTGGGTCAAATGGGAGCTCAATTTCTAATTTTTTGAGAATTGTCCATACTGTTTTCCAAACAGTAACAGTAAAAGGACTGAACCAGTCGGTATTCCCACCAGCAGTGAAGGAGGCTCCTTTTATTGCAACATCCGCACCAACACCAGTTGCTTTTGTTCTTTTGGATGTGGGCCAGTCTCTGTGATGTGAGATGATATCTCATTGTTGTTTTGATCCGCATCTCCCTGGTGATTAGTGATGTAGAGCATTTTCTCATGTGCCTTTTTGCCATTCGGATTTCTTCTTTAAGAAAGTTTCTGTTCATTTTGTCACTCCATTTTTTTTATAGAGTTGGATTGATTTCTTCTTGTGGAGTTCAACCAGTATTTGTATATCCTTGATATCAACCCCTTGTCAGATGGGTATTGGGTAAATATCCTTTTCCATTCTATAGACTGTCTTTGTATTTTGGTCACTGTTTCTTTTGAGATGCAGAAGCTTCTTAGTTTAATATAGTCTCATCTGTCTATCTCTGTTTTCACTTGCTTGGCCAGTGGCATGTCATCTTTCAAGATACCATTTGCTTCAATGTCATGAAGGGTTTTTCCAACCTTGTCATCAATGTACCTTATGGATTCTGGTCTCATACTGAAGTCTTTAATTCATTTTGATCTTACTTTTGCACATGGTGTTAAGTAGTGATCTGAGCCCATTTTTTGCATGTAGCTGTCCAATTTTGCCAGCACCATTTGTTAAAGAGGCGTTCCTTGCTCCACTTCACATTTCTTGCTCCCTTATCAAAGATTAGATGATCACATGATTGAGGGGAAATGTCAGTATATTCAACTGTTCCATTAGTCTGCAGCTCTGCCTTTGTTCCAGTACCATGATGTTTTAATTATTACTGCTTTGTAGTAGAGCTTGAATTTAGGCAGGTTGATTCCTCCCATTTGCTTTTTCCCAAGAATTGCTTTAACTATTCATGGGTGCTTATTGTCCCATATGAATTTCAGGAGTGTTTGCTCCATTTCTTTAAAGAATGTCATTGGTGTCATTGTAGGGATCACATTGAATTTGTACAATGCTTTGGGGATTATTGCCATTTTGACAATGTTAATTCTTCCTATCCATGAGCAGGGGATATGTTTCCATTTTCTCGTGTCCTCTTCTATTTCCTGAAGTAGCATTTTATAGTTTTCTTTGTAGAGGTCTTTTACTTCATTAGTTAAGCTGATTCCTAGGTACTTGGTTTTCTGGGGCACAATTGTGAACGGGATTTTTTTTTCATGTCACTTTCTTCTCTCTCACTATTTGCATATAGGAAAGCCATGGATTTTTGGGTATTGATTTTATAGCCTGCAACTTTACTATACAAGTCTATTGTTGCTAGGAGTTTCTTGGTAGAGGTTTTAGGGTTCTCTAAGTACAGTATTATATCATCTGCGAATAGTGAGAGCTTGATTTCTTTCTTTCCTACCCGAATGCCCTTAATATATTTTTTCTTGCCTAACCACTATTGAAAGTCTTCCAGTACTATACTGAACACAGTGGAGAGAGTGGGCATCCTTGTCTCGCCCCTGATCTTATCAGGAAGGCTCTTACTTTTTCCCCATTGAGGATGATGCTTGTCATAGGCTTGTATGGACTTAGTAGTCCTTAATAGGACTCTTTAGGTACTCTAGATCTTCTTGATTCAGTCTTGGGAGATTATAGGAATCCAGGAATTTATCCATTTCTTCTAAGTTGTCTTGTTTCATGTTATACAGACTTTCAAAGTAGTCTCTGATGATCTTTTGAATTTCTTTGGTTTCTCTTGTAATATCCCCCTTCTCATTTCTAATTCAGTTTATTAGATTTCTATATCTCTTTCTTTATGAGCTATGCTGGTGGTTTATATATCTTGTTTATTTTCTCAAAAATCAAGCTCTTGGTTTCATTGGTCCTTGGATTGTTTGTTGTTGATGTTGTTGTTTGTTTGTTTCCATGTCAATGATTTCTGCTCTAAGTTTTATGATCTATTTCCTTCTGCTTGGTTTGGGCTCCATTTGTTGGTCCTTTTCTAAAATCTTGAGCTTGAAGTCAAGTTTTTTATGTGGGCCTTTTCTTTCTTCCTGAGAATTGCTTGCAGAGCTATAAATTTCCCTTTATAGCTTTATCTGCATCCCATAGGTTCTGATCGCTCGTGTCTTCATTCTCATTTGTTTCCAGGTATTTTTGATTTCGTCCTTGACTTCCATCCTGACAACATTGTGTTGTTTAATTTCCAGATGTTTGATTTGCTTCTCGTGTCTGTGTGTGATTCACTTTTATCTTGAATGCATCGTGGTCTGAAAACATTGTTGATACTGTTTCTATCTTCCTGATTCTATTGAGGTATGTTCTGTGGCCTAGCACATGGTCTATTTTGGAAAATGTTCTGAGCGCACTGGAGAAGAATGTGTATTCTTTCTTTCTGGAGTGTAAAGCCCTGTATCGGTCTATAAGCCCTCTATCTTCAATTTCTTCCTTCACAGCCAATGATTTCTTGCTAAGTTTTATTCTTATTTATCTATCCAGAGGTGATGCAGCGATGTTGAAGTATCCAGCTACTATTGTGTTGCTAGAAATACCCTCCTTAAAATCTGTTAGTAGTTGTTTTAAGTATTTAGCTGGTCCCTCATTAGGTGCGCATAAATTTAAGAGTGTGATTTCTTCCTGTTTTACATATTCCTTGATAAATAGAAAATGGCCTTCACTGTCCTTTCTAATCTTTTTCAATCTGAAATTTATGCTGTCGGATACTAGTATGGCCACCCCAGCTTTTTTGAGGGAGCTGTTTGCTTTCAGGATTGCTTTAAAAATATGGAGCACTTCACGAATTTGCATGTCGTCCTTGGCAGAGGCCATGCTAATCTTCTCTATATTGTTCCAATTTTAGTAAATGTGCCGCTGAAGTGGGCACTTTATGAGTATTTTAAAGTTTAAATGTGTCTTCAGCAGAGCCTGGCAAGCTACCCGTGGTATATCCGATATGCCAAAAATAGTAACAATAATGAGCCTCATTTCCCTGACCCTGAAAGAGCCTCTAATATGGCAGGATTAGGAAAGATGAGTAAGAAGATGCTGCTAAAATCTCAGAACTGGGATGAATGTAGACATTACTGGCACCTGCTTGAGCAAATCAATGAACAACCGGACGTCAGTGATACGGTGATACAGTGAAATGTGTTCTACTGTGTAAAGACAATGTTATGAGAATGACTGTCCACAATAGTTGTAAAGTTCATTGCTTGTCCAGAAATTGCATCCAGTTCCTATATGGTTCACTGGGAGCAACTAACTACAAAGAAGCTTCTTTTAGACGAAGCTTCTGTGATGAAAATTACTGGTGAATATTAAAAAGAAATGTTGTAGTTGAGCTATGAACTCTGGGCTATTGATGAAATTACATGGACTCAACCTTAATATCTTTTCCATGAAGAAAATAGATGGCTAAACAGAAGAAGGCTTCCTTCATGACTTGCCAAACTGAGGGACGATGTAAAGCAAGTTCTTCAAGTATGAAACTCTGTCCTAGTAGAGCTTAGTAGAAACTCTGTCCTAGTAGAACTCTGTCCTAGTAGAGTTGGATGAGAAGTGGATGGCTAAAATTGCATTGACAAGTGGACATTTTTAGTCTTCTCAACAAACAACATTTTTCTTCAAGGGGGATAGCACAAGTATGTTTAGGTTGTGAAAAAAGATGACTGCATCACAAAAGCAGCTGACTCAGGAATAGCCAAGTACAAGAGGAAGATATAATTATGTTTCCACATTTGCGAGACTCTTTGATAGTTGCTGATGCAATGGAAAGTCATATTCAATGGAATTCAATATTTTAGTACGTTATCTCAAAAATTTAGTTATTGTTTGAGAATTAGTGTACTTGTAGAAATAATCTCTGCATTCATAATCCCTTCATGAAAGATGTCAACAATGTAAGCAATGCTTCAATTTTAGATATTAGAGGAAAAGTATCATCCATTTCTCAGTTACAAAGCTAGTAAACTGTTGATCCTGAGTTTGATAACCTATTTGTGAGAAGATTGCAGTTCTTCAGTGACAAAAGCTAAACAAAGAGATGGAATGAATGTCATAGTAACGTTTCATCTCTCTAAAACAATGTTTATCAGAGCTGGGATTAGCCCTAAGCACTATCAGGTATGACTTCCAGCTTCCCCACTCTACCTCCCAAAGTTATTATGCAAAATAATATTTAAAATGTAATTTTTTATTTCTGCCTCACCAGTCTGAAATATTTTCTCATTTGCACCATTAGGTAGGGGAAATATTAAAAATTACTGATTGATAATATGTGTATTATTAATAATATTATTATCAGCATTGATAATTGAAAATTGAGGGGTGAATTGAGAGGCTTGTGAATTAATTGATAAAAAAGATATATTAGTAAGAACTTGTTTTAATTATATGGATTTGCATAAGAGTTTCACAAAGAAATGAAACTCCAGGACACTCCCTAATGATTGAGTTTTATATTCTATCTAAGACTAAACAAAAGAAAAGATGTTTGTGTATTCTAGATGGAAAAGTAATGTTTCAGGAGGCAATGACAGGATATATAAGTAGGAATTGTCTTATTATACAGATAAGCATTTGTCTGTGCTTGCTTTGCATATGGTCAGTCAAAATTCAGTTTCTGGCATAGCATATAGTACCTTCAGCCACCCCAGGAGTGACCCCTGAGCAAAGAACTAGGAATATCCTATAAGCACTCTTAGGTGTGGTTCAAACTAACTGATAAATATAAATTGTCTCAGGTAAATAGAGTTGTCATGGCAATTAGTTAACTTCTTGGTATGGGTACATCCTCATAAATAAAAAACATATTTTAATGAAAAGTTTTTTTGAAGGGAGGAAAATATTATATTTTTAGCCAATGAATGGGGAAATAAAGAACTTTGGTATGTCCAAGGTTCTCAACTGCTCTCATTAGAATAAATCTGTATGCTAAAGAGGCATATTCTAGACTGGGTTTTCTAGTGCCCTTCAATTTTATTTTATAATTAACATATCATATCATAGGCATTTCTATAATATCACAATTATATATTCTTAATATTATTGTAATGGTGATATAAAATTTTGTTAGAAATCACCATTAATCTATAATAAAATAGAATTTTACTTTTGCTCTCATCGTGACTTTACACTTCATTCAGTATGGGCTATATTTTCCTTGCCCCAAATGAAAATTCAGGTAGTGGGCCTGAGAGATAACACAAGCATTTAATGTGTTTGTCTTCCATGTGACTTACCATAGTTTGATCTATAGCATGGCAAGATTCTCAGTGAACTACTAGGTATGATCCAAGACCCTTAGACCCTAACAAAGAAAATTTAGGAAGGAATATTGATTTACTTTCTTTTGCACTCTTAAGGGGCTGACACTTGATCAGAGAGATAGGTCAACAGACTGAGGACATACTAATCATTCTTCATGTGTGAGACTACTAGGTTTGCTCCCCACCACAGCATGACTATCTGAGCATCGCAGGACCAACCCTGCTGGGCTTTACCCTCAATATACTGACATAGAATTCACTCTCACTTTAAATCATATTTTCAAATATAACTTTGTAATTTCTATTCAAAATTCTTAGTCCAATTTTTGTACTTAAACATTTCTCTTGGACATTGAAACTGATTGTGTTCAAAACACAATGAACAAAGAAGAGAAGAGAAAACTTTGCTGCCTTTTCTGTACCTTATTTTTGCATCTAGATCATCAGGGTTTCGTTTGTTTGTTTTGGTGGGGGAATTGTCACACCTGGCGGTACTCAGAGGTTTCTCTTGGGTCTGAACTCATTGTTTGGGGGAACATATGAGATGCTGGAGATTGAACTCAGGTTAGCTGTGTGCAAGGGAAACTCCTTAGCTGCTCTCTGGCCCCCTGATCCACTTCTTTAACCATAAATTCTCCAACTGATGCCGGTTAGCAGGTGTAGAAAGGTTGAAAACTTAGTCTACTATTGCTGCTCTGCAGACAGGTATACAGGAAAATTGCTTGTTTGTAGATGTAGCTAGATTGAAGTATGTTGGTTTAGAAGTAGGTTCAAGATCATGAATATGTGGCATCTGAGTTCTATAACAGTCGGTAAGATGCTTATCTTGCACTTACTTCAATCTTTGGCATCCCTCAAGGTCCCCTGAAACCCTCTGGGAGTGATTCCTGAATGCAGAGCCAGGAGTAACTCCTGAGTATCTCCAGGTATGGCACCCAAACAAGGAAAAAAAATTATTTTTTTAATTTGAAAGAGTAGCACAATCTGTAGCACTGTCCTCCCATTGTTCATCGATTTGCTCGAGCAGACAAGAGTACAATAATAAATTAGTTTTATGGACCTTAAGGTGAACTCAGCTTAAATTTTGTTGCTTTCTTATAAGTTTACATTTGAAAATTACTTTGATGTTTTTTTTACAACCTGAATATTTATAACCATCAAAAATCACAGGTTCTTTCAAAGAAGAAATCCGAATGGCAAAAAAGCACATGAGAAAATGCTCTACATCATTAATCATCAGGGAGATGCAGATCAAAACCACAATGAGATACCATCTCACACCTCAGAGACTGGCCCACATTCAAAAGAACAAAAGCAACCGATGCTGGCGTGGATGTGGCGAGAAAGGGACACTCCTTCACTGTTGGTGGGAATGTCCACTGGTTCAGCCCTTCTGGAAAACAGTATGGACAATTCTCAAAAAATTAGAAATTGAGCTCCCATTTGACCCAGCAATACCACTCCTGGGAATATATCCCAGAGAGGCAAAAATGTATAGTCGAAGTGACATCTGCACTTGTTTGTTCATTGCAGCACTCTTTACAATAGCCAGAAACTGGAAGAAACCTGAATGCCCAAGAACAGATGACTGGTTAAAGATACTTTGGTACATCTACACAATGGAGTACTATGTAGCTGTTAGAAAAGATGAAGTCATGAAATTTACATACAAGTGGTACAATATGGAAAGTATCATGCTAAGCGAAATGAGTCAGAAAGAGAGGGATAGACATAGAAAGATTGCATTCATCTGGGGGATATAAAGTAATAAAGTATGAGATTAATACCCAAGAATAGCTGAGATCAGCACCAGGAGGATTACTCCATAACTTAGAGGCCAGCCGGGTATCCTAGAGAAAAGGGCAGCTCAGATAGAGAAGGGAGCACCAAATAAAGGATGTTTGGAGGATCCTCCCAGGAGGGGAGATGCATGTCGAAAGTAGACTATGGACTGAACATGTTTGCCACTCAATGCCTCTTTTGCAGACCACAACACCCAAAAGGAGAGAGAGAACACAGGGGATTGCCCTGCCACAGAGACAGGGGGGGAAGGGGGGATGGGGGTGGGGGGATATTATCCATGGTGGTGGAAAATGGGCACTGGTGGAGGGATGGGTATCTGATCATTGTATAATCGAAAGCCAAGCACAAATAATTGTAAATCTACAACTGTAAAAAAAAAATAAATAAAGGGAAAAAATAAAAAAAAATCACAGGTTCTAGTAAACAGAAAAAGAGTGGCTTTATTGGAACAAAAGTAAATTGAAAAAGAGTGGATTTATTGGCACTTACATAATTCAGGAAGCATAGCTAAACATCACAAGAATAGAGCAAGTTTCAAAGAGAAAAACTGGAGCTCTGGTTTCATCCCTGAGAAAATCTGGGTAAAGTAACAGGGCAGGAGTAAGGCAGTAAGTAGGTCTTTTTTTTTCTCTTAGAAAACACATGAGTGTTTATGTGGAAATGGTGGTATGTACCAATGAGGAAGGTATGAGGTGCATGCATCACATGTAAAGAAAATGGTGGCATAATGTTCTGGAGATGTTTTTCATATAGTAGTGACAGCAGAGCCTGGAAGCTACCCAAGGGAGCATTCGATATACCAAAAACAGTAACA